CCTGGACAGAGGTTCAGGGAAATTTTGAATGACTTTAGACCTTACAGAAGGTGAGGAACCTATCTTGTGAAAGTGGTGGAAAGATGGATCACTCCCAAGTAACTGCTGTGTATTTCATACTTAAAATACAGCATCAGGTTTGTTTAAAGCAAGGCATAACTGTAGTAGTGAAACGATACCTTGACAGTTCCCAGGAACATCAAATCCCAATTAATTCTGTGCCCTCATGTAGCATGTAGGGCTTCCATATTGGACCAGCTGGGACGGCAAGTCCTCAGTGGGTCAATGAGTTACTCTAGGTCTGCTCAGACTCAGTCCGGTGTGTGTCCTACCTTGCATGTAAATCTGAAGCACCCTAGGACTCTAGAGACAGAGATGGTGTGTGTGAGAGAGGGCTGGAAAATACCCAGTCAATGGGAACTCTCTGAACTTTCTGCTCAATTTTGCTGTGAACCTAAAACTGCTCTAAACAATAAAGTCTATATAATAAAAAAATGCCCAGTCATCATCCTATTTATTGGTACTTTAAGAGCATGGTCTGGTTTTGCCATTCCCTTCACTCTCCTGGCTACTATTGTACAAAATCGCATCTTATTGAAGATCTGGGAGCCCAGCCCAATTCTGACCTCCCAGAATTTTCTGCAATCTGGAGGGTCCTGGGGGCATGGGGCTGGATCTCTCCTTTGGGTGGACTTACAGACTTTGGGAAACTGATTGCATTTGGCCTCCTGCCTGATTCAAATCAAGGCTGTCCTGATTTCTTTCAGGTGGGGGGCACATATGTCAGCGGTTAGTTTCATGGTTGACTTAAATACCATCCTGTTTCATTTTGGTTAGAAAAGCATTTATCTAATTCAGCATTTAGAAACAGGAAAGACTGGGGAACACTGGCAGACAGATACTGGCAGACGGGTAGGTGCAGCAGACCCTAACCTCCTGATGAGACATGATCCCAAACGTGTTTCCATTCCTTTATGTTAGTGAGTTCACGTTGCTTGGATATTTTTCCCATGATCTGAAGCTGGTCTGGAGAGGCGTTTGCCTAAACTAAACCTCCGAGGTACAAAAACTAATTTGGCATCTGCAAGGAAAAAAATCATGGACAATAAAATATGTTCAGGTAGGTCCTGGGTACAAAGAAAAGCATGGGGATGGGGGGCGTTGCACAAGAATATAACTCTTGTCTGAAAAATGCCAAAGCCACTTACACAATAATATGATAACAAAAGTTAAAGGAAATAATAAGAAAGCCATATTAAGGTTAAAAGTGTTTACTGGTTTTCAATTTTTGAAACAACCTGTAAACAAGCCTGGAAAGATTTGATGTGAGCATAAATGTTACCATTCTTTACAATGCAGAGGTGAAAGGTTTGTGGGAGGCTGGATGGGAAGTGAGGACAAGAACTAAATCAGAAATCAAGAGATGGCCGCATAGTTGACAGAACAAATGGGGATTTAAATATGCTGCTTAAAGTTACAAAGTTAATTTAAAATAGCTTGATACTTCTATTAGGAGAAGAGAGGAAGAGAAAGTGGGAGATATAAGTGAGCTAAACCCTCATACACCATAGCTGGAAATGAACAGATGATACATAAGGCTAATAAATCCAGAGACAGAGGTAAGTGGAAAGTATTCAGAAATATGTAGGTAAACCCATAAAACCTGAAACCAGAAGCAGTTAAATGGTTAAATGTGATTGCCTCGGGGAAGTAATCCTGAGGGTGCAGAGTATAGCTGAGTCCTGGGCATTTCTTCATAAAGCCTGTGTATTGAAATGATTTTCAACCACATGATGCACTACATTGACAAATGTTTTTTTAAAAAAATCAGTTTCAAAATTTTGGTTGTGTTTTGTATGATAATAGCTGAATTTTATATGCCAGGCACTGTTCTATGCCCTTGTCATTCATCTTCTCAACAATTCTCCCAACAACCTTATAGTAAAGTCAGTCTCCTAAATTGGGTTTTCCCAGATGCAGACCTTGAGCCAAGGATTCGAGTGAAGGTGATTTATTAAGAAAGGGCTTCCAGAAGACACCAGGAAAGGAGTAAGGAAAACAGGATAGGGAAACGCAAGAAGCAAAGCAGAGGTGAGATTTCAGGTGAAGACCCAGTCTATTCTCACCCCAGGGAACTATGAAGCATGAACTGTCCCTCAGAGTTTATCCTTCTCTTCTTCCCACACCAATCAGTCATTGCTTCCAGGTGAGTGTGGGGCATACAATCTGGGAACTTCTAGTTCTCTACAAAGGGAAAGTGACTTCATTGACCAAGAATCAAAGTGCAGTGTTTAAAAATTACTATCNGCATCTTATAAATTTGATTATATCTACTTTCTCTGTAGATATCATGTGTACAATGAAGACTTTTTAAGCCTGTCTTCAAGTTTAGTCCTATGTCAAAGGTATTATGTTGTCTCATACTTGTGAGATTTAAAAATTACATCTTCAAACTCAACTCAGGAAAATGTTTAAACTAAAAGTAGCCATGACCCAAGTGCCAGGGAAAACACAATTACTCATCTCACCCAAATATTTTCATTTCCAGGGAAACTTCGGGCCACCACTGAGAATCCAAGTTAATAAAAAAAGATGTTATGGGACAACACACAAAGTCAGTTCTAAAATACTAAGTCTATAATCCACTTGCCTTTCTGCCTGTGTACCAATTTATTGTGACTTTGTGTACTTTGCTATTTCAGACCTAAGGTTGCGATCACGCTTGTCGTCCTAAGGTAGGGAAGGGCTGTGTGCACACCGTCCAGGCATGGGGGAAGCTGGCGTTTGAAATGAGTGCATAGGTTGCTCACTGCTGGACTTTGTCACTGCACCACAAACGCACTAAGTCATCAGACGTCTCACTGGGGAAAACATCATTATGTAATTATAAAACTGAACCATTCATTTCTGGATCTGATGTGCTGACATCACAGTCATTATAATTTGAAGCTAATTTATTATTAAGGCCTCTAAGTTAAGAATGGTTTCCTGAACTATAAACTTACATATTCTTGAATACTCTTATCTATTGCTCCTCAGTGACAGTAGATTAAAGATGAGCTTTCATGGTTAGCCTGAAATATCTATTTTAGATGCCCTCAGACTCAGTAATAAAGTACATATACAGAAGCTTTATTATTTTTTTATAATTTTGTAAAAATCTTTATAAGTGTATTTGTTGAGGCTCTCGGCATGCTTTCAGAGTACTTGTTAGTCCATGGAGTGATGGCTGGAATCTGGGACATGAGACTGGGGCTAAATTTCTTCACCCTCCTAACCCCAGAGAGTCTTTAGAAAAATAGAAACAAAACAGCACAAAGTACTTAAGGTAAGACACTGTTGTATTCATAATATAGAGAAATAACCACCATGCCTCATGGACAGCAGATGCAGTTCTCCGCGGGGCTACAAAACTGTGCTAGTAATAATTTTAATTGGATGCTATCTTTGCTGCCTTCAAAAAGTATCATAAAATGGAATTATTACAGGCTACAAGTGCACTTACAGTGCTGGCTTCTCACAGGAGGAAACAGATAACATTTATCCTTTGGAGGACAACATCAATGGGCTTCTATTTGTTTTGTTCACATGTATCCCCAGTTGCCTGCTATTTGCTTCCCCTTCCTTATGTCTAAGAGATCAATTTGAATTAGACGCTGCAGAACTGGATGCTAAGTTTTGCTGGCCTCTGCCTTTAGGGAAGGCACAACTCCCTGGAAAGGTCCTCTGTGCCCATGGGCCAGGATGGGGAGCATACCTGCAGAGGATTGGGTGGCGTGAGCGGCGACGGGAGGCCATGTCCTGGAGATTGACTGGGCTTCTGAGAGGGGCTTGCGTTCTGCTGAGTTGGAGACGGTTGATTCTGGTTCTGGGGGTGGGGGTGGGATTGAGGTTGCTGGGGCTGCGATGGAACAGCTGGCAGCTGCTGGGAGGCCGGAGGCGGCTGCTGTGGCGGGGCGGGCCTGATGCCGCTCGTGGCATTCATGTTGCCCGCGCCGTAGTGTATGTGCTCGCCCATCAGGGCGTTGGGGGCGGGCTGGGGCTGCTGCTGCTGGGACTGCGGGGCTGGCTGCGGGTGCTGGTTGCTTGGCGGCGGCGGCTGCTGCTGGAGCTGCTGGAGCTGCTGGAGCTGCTGGAGTTGGGAGTTCAGGGATGAGGTAGCTACAAGGAAAGAAAGGGAACGTGCAGGTGAAACACACACGACCGGTCATCCGGCTGTGTCGCTGGCAGCTTGTCCTGCGTGAGCTGGGAAGGCTATCCTTTAGAAAAAATTTACCCTCTCATCCTGGATCTCCTTGGTACTTACGAGGGTTATGGGGGCACTGGAAGAAAAAGAGTCACTTCTTGGGTACATTTTTAAATTTAAGGAGAAGAAGAATGTAACTCATCAAGGCATTTATTTGAAAGGCATTGAGCCAAGGGGATGCACTGGAGATGGAGGTCATGTTTAAGTGCGCTCTGTCTTCCCCTCTCTTCCTTTCCACACTGCTTGGGAAATACACTTAGACTTTCAAGACTGGATTTAGAATTTTTAAAGTTCAACCAGTTAAATTCTTTTGGTAAATGCTCAACTGGAGTTAAGAACAGAGAAATAGTTTGTGATCTTCTTTCCATCATCAATGCCATTCATCGTGTCATTTTCATTTGCTACTTCAGAGCTTTGCCAATTTGCTCAGATATGTTAGTTTCAAGTTCCTACAGTTTTTCTTTAATTTAAAGATAGTACATGCTTCTCAGTTTTGCAGAATCAAAAGCCTGAGTCTTAATTTTTTGCCTGCTGATCAAGGAGACAGAAACCCCCAAGCCGGAAGGATTATGGTAGGTGACATGAACGGTACACTGGTGACTAGACACATTCGCACCTCAAGGACACACAAGGAACTGAGGGAATGAAATCATCTTTCAAGATTTTCTTGTTCTGTGAAATGTAAGAGTTGGTGGGACAAACTGTCTCAACACTGAGCACTCTAAATTTGTGCTTAGATGCCCATCTAGCACTGAACAATTTCTGCAGCAGGAAGGCAGTTTGGCCGCATAGTGATCTAGAGAAAATTACTGCTACAACTTCACTTCCTTCTTTGCCTGAATCTCAGTCTGAAAGCTTTCCAACAAGCCTACAAATAAATATAAGGGTCAGTGTGGAACTGGAGGCCTGGGCTGCAATATTTTCCTGCTCCTCCCCTACCTAGAATTTGTCAAGATTTCCGAAGGTAATAACTCCTGTTTGCAACATTAAACTAGTCCTTATTTTTAAAAAGTGCTCCTTTAGAAAAATCTAGTGGTTCTGTAAAGTGACATATCATATACTTGTCTTCATACAACAAATATATTCTTGAGAAATGTGTGTATGTTGACCCCTATGTTGAAGACACCTAGAGAAGTTTCTCAGTGAGGAAATAAACCAGTGACTATTTTTGTAAAGTTAAGAATCATTTTGTAAGATTTACTGAATATCAGTTAGGTACTAATATCATGCTAGGTAATATGCAGTATTTAAAAAGTCCTGCCTTCAAGGAGCTTATAGTCCATTTGTGGAGATAAGATTAACTCATAAGAAACGATCAGGTTTTGAGGGTAACAGTTACAGAGTCCTGCTAATGGTAGATGTTGACACATATCAGTTAATTGACTAAATGATCAGCAGTGTGGACACAGACTAAAATGGCCAGGGGGAGCAGGAGAGAGGGCTTCTGTGGGCTAGAGAGAACCAAGGCAGCATTTGTGGAGGATGTGGAATGAGAGCCGAAGTTTCAAGAGAGTGAGGTTCATACCTTGAAAGGAAGGAAGGGAGGATATTCCAAGCTGGAGAAACACCCAGAAGCCAGCATGGCTCAGGTGATATTTCTGAAGGACAATGTGCAGAACGGACG